TAATTATCAGAAAAACCTAAGATCTTGTGTGGGGCCATATTTTGGGTGTAAATGACTTCGAAAAAAATTTCAAGCCATTTCAACATAGGCGGAGTCGACGTGCTTCACAGAGGTATATAGAACCTTTCGTCGAACCCTATCTATACACTTAGGTTCTCTGGGATTCTGAGGTCCTTGTGCTTTCTAGTGTCGGATTGGGCTGAAACTTTTTCTCAAGACTTCAAATGCCTTATGTGTAGCCACCATCAAGTTTGAGATTTTTCTGAGGTGGTTTGGTACTTTTTTTCACTTTAATTGAATTTTCGCGCGAATTCACCGATTAATTATACATTGAACTGGGTCCACCCCCTAAAGGATCCGGAATGGTGCCAAACTTTGCCAAATGGTCTATTGTGCCCTAGGAGACAAATATTTGTGGAGGTTGATGCAAAATTATACTGTTTTCAATATGTAATTCACCGTATTTCGTCTTACGTGGCACAAAGAAAAATGTAATAATAAAAATAATTATCAGAAAAATCTAAGATCTTGTGTGGGGCCATATTTTGGGTGTAAATGACTGCCAAAAAAATTTCAAGCCATTTCGACATAGGCGGAGTCGACGTGCTTCACAGAGGTATATAGAACCTTTCGTCGAACCCTATCTATACACCTAGATTCTCTGGGACTCTGAAGTCCATTTGCTTTCCAGTGCTAGATTGGTCTCAAACTTTTTTTCAAGACTACAAATGCCCTGTGTGTAGCCACCACCAAGTTTGAGATTTTTCTGAGGTGGTTTGGTACTTTTTTAACTTTAATTGAATTTTCGCCCGAACTCACCGATTAATTATACAATGATTAATGAAGAACCTAAAGATTTACGATACAATTACGTGAAAACTAATTTCCTGTCGAAAACCAATAAATTTAATAATTTCAATTAAAGTCTATATTTTTGCATTAACGAAAATAGTGAATATTAGTTGCATTATGTTCAACATTTATAATAAAAAACACAATAGTTTAGGTCACATATTTTTTTGTGTGCAGTAAATGAAATTAAAGTTTATTACTTTTTCTAAAAAAATTTATGCCTAGTATTGAATTTACTGCGCAAATAATAAGACTTAAACATTTAAATATAAAACATATATAAAATAAACTGATCTGCTTAAAAGTTGGCGGGAAATGAAAATGTAGCCCACCTTTAGTCCCGGCTCCTGCCACCAGCTGGGACTAAAGGTGGGCTGCATTTGGCGGCCCGCTAAAAAATCCTTTAGTCTCGGCTCCTTCCAACAGCCGGGACCCTTTAGTCCCGGCTGGTGGCAGGAGCCGGGACTAAAGGTGCTTTAGTCCCGGGCGGTGGATGGAGCCGGGACTAAAGGCCCCTCTCCTATATACCGCCGCCTCCCTTCTCTCTTCCTCCTCATCGATCGTCTTCGTCTTTAGCGCGTCCCCAGAGCTCCGCCGCCGCCGATTCGCCTCCCCGGCCACCCCCGACGCCGCCTTCCTCACCGGAGGGCACCCCGAGGCTCGCCCACCTTGCCGGAGTAGCCCCGACGCCGCGCCCCTCACCAAGGAGCCCTCGGCCGCCCGCGATGCCACGCGCGCGCCATGCCACAGCCGATTTCGCCTTCCTCACAGGAGGGCATCACGACGCCCGCCCACCTCGCCGGAGTAGCCCCGACGCCGCGCCCCTCAAGGAGGAGCCCCTGGCTGCCCCTGACGTCGTGCGCGTGCCACGCCGCCGCCGATTTCGCTTTCCCGGGCCACCCCGGCCCGACGCCGTGCCTTCTTCCCCACCAGAGGGCATCTTGACGCCCACCCACACCTCGCTGGAGTAGCCCCGATGACGCCGCACCCGGCCAGGAGCCCCCATGCCTCGATCCAGCGCCGCTGTCCACCACCGCCCGTCGCCAACACTCCATTAATTCTAAAGCGCCGGTATATATATATTATATTTATTATATTTATGAATTATATTGACGAAATGTGTATTAATGTATATATGTATGAAATTATATATGTATGAAATGTATATATATATATCAATTAATGTATATATGTATGAAATTATGTATGTATGAAATGTGTATATATATCAATTAATGTATATATGTATGAAATTAATGTGTGTGTGTATATATATATATATCAATTAATGTATACATGTATAGTTTTTCCTTAGGAAAAAATCAATTGTGTTATATTCTGATACCATGTGGCCTATACCTTAAACCCTAAACCACCCTAAACCCTAAACCCTAAACCACCCTAAATCCTAAACCACCCTAAACCCTCCCCGGCCACCTTGGCGATTTCCTCTTTGAAAGTACGCCGGTAGCGGATGAATGGCAGAAATATGAGCATGGCAGGAGTCTATGGAATCCTAAGACCATCAATGAACTGGGTACACAATTGTTCAAGCTAAACACCTTGTACCTCGACGCGTGTCACCGGAAAGAGTTCTATATTTCTGTCAGAATCAAAGACGACCATTGGTTCCGTGGCGATGACGCTATGTACATTGAGTTTGCTGAATTACACCAACTAGTCCACCGGAACTCTCTCGACAAGACTCTCATCGGTTGCTATTGTCTGTAAGTGATTCTTTCTACTAATTAATAATAAGTCGCTACGTACGTACATGTCTGTGTTTATTATCCTCACTCTATATATATGATGCAGGTTTGAGATGGGAGAGTGCAAAAAGAGAGGGTGTACTGATATTGGTTTCATTGATCCACATATCGTATTCAAAAACCCTAAACCCCAACCAACATGGAAAGCAGAAACGGAGGCCAATATCAAGATGTTCTTAGAGAAGCAACGTAACAAGACATGTATACTCTTTCCCGACAACTTCAGGTAAGTGTTCGTAATGTCGACGATCGTGTATCCATATATATATGTTCACTGTACCTGTTAGCTAATTAATGAGTGTTAATGGACATGGCAGTGAACACTGGATATTGATGGAACTCGATCTGGAGAAAGGTCTTCTAGGCATCTGGGACTCGATGAGAAAAGAGCAAAAAGAGTTTCAAGAGATGATAGATATTATTCAGAGGTAATTGCAGTCTCACTAGCAAAACTATTCCAGTCTCTCTGCATGCAAATTAACGGTCCAAATATTTTTTATGTTATTTGGTAGTTGTTGAAAAAAGGTATGTCAGGAACACCATATGAAATGCAAAGTGCCACTGAAAGTAGTGCTATACAAAGTAAGTACTATATACCTACCTTAGTTCAATTTCCCTATGCTCGGATGATGATGAATCTTTTTCTCGTAAAGTGGGTTCTGCTGCAGCCCCAGGGGACCAATCTCTGTGGATACTATGTTTACGAGTTCATGAGAGTGTGTTAAAAAAGAACTAGTCTAGAGCAAAAAAAAGGGTAAGTGTACACATATATATATATATATATATATATATATATATATTCTTCATACATATATTTATATATATATATATATATATATATATTCATTCGTGATAGATACAATTTATTTATCATTATTCTTGATACATATATATATACTTTTTCTTTATCTCATATCTCAAATTGAAGACTCGTTCGTTGAAGGAAAAAACCCTGGACACACACCATCTTAAAGCAATCCAAGAGACAATAGGTGGATTTCTGAATGATCAGGTCTTAACTCCCGGCGGCGAGTTTTACTATGACCCAAATATGTGATGATGAAAGCCAAATTTCATATTGATCCAAAGAACATGTGATAATGAAATGTACAATTAATGCAAACTTTACATGTGACGATAAAATGTAATATTATGTTTTAGTTTACTTTTACTTGTGTTGCTTGCGTGCATTGATCGAGCGAAAACTTTACAGTACGCGCGCGTATACGTATATTACTTTGCAGCGAATAATGCGTCTTCGAAAACCAAATTAAAACAAAAAAGAATCATCAATTGAAATAAGCAGGAAAAGAAAAAAAACCCTTTAGTCCCGGTTGGTAATACCAACCGGGAATAAAGGGGCCAGCCCAGGCGCTGGCGTGGCTACCTTTTTAGTCCCGGTGGGTATCACCAACCGTGACTAAAGGTCCACTTCTATTCCCGGCTACTAACCCTTTATTCCCGAACTTCTATTCCCGGCTGCGTAACCGAAAATAAAGGGGGTTGGCAGGCAGGAATAGAAGCCCTTTTTTTTACTAGTGGCCGGCGACATGTAGCCGGTGCGCCTGCGCAGCCACGGGAGGGATTGAACTCTCCCGGACGCAGATACCTCGGTCGAGCTCCTCAGCACACCGCCACACCGCCGTCTTTACCGAGCCTTATCGGCCCGTTGTGGCTGCTCTAAGGGTACCAAGAAAGCAGACTGACTTAAAGTTATGCAGCCTGTTCGGGAGGCCGTATCGTATCGTGGATTATTTACTGCTGGCTGGTTTGGTGTGAGAGAAAAACACTGTTTCCGACTGGAAATTTACGATCATTTACGAGCAAGCGAACAGGCTGATGGTAATTTAGATCTTACACGAAATGATTAGTAAGTTTAGGAACAAAAATATACATTTTGAAAATGTATAGGCATCTAGATGACACCTCAAATACCGGTGTATTTTATTCTAAGTTTGTGCCACCGTGAGTTGTGTGGCACCATGGATTACCACGTAGGCTAACGGGTCAGATCAAGGCCTATTAGGACATCTGTTGGAACCCACTACGTACAAGTTTAGACTTTAGAAACTAAACAGTAGGCATTTCTAAAGTTGGAAGACCGGAATGGCACAACAAGCTATAAGTTTGAACACCGGTACTGAATTTTACTCAATTTACATTTATATGGACAGCGGGAGGTAATAATAATGAAATAAAAGACTCTTGGATGTAATGTAATGATACATGATAGAACCTCGCATACACTGATACACACGAACACCTCAGCATACACATGCAAGTTGCACTCTACAAGAATTTTCATCAAAAAAAAAAGACAAGGTACGAGCACACGACTTGAAACGTGGTACATACATATGCATGCATATACCGAGTAAATTAAGCAGCAGCCTCTGACGCAGTGATGGCGCCGCAGCCGTCGATGAAGCGGGCGACGGTCTGGATGAGCTCGCCGGTGGCCTCGGACGCTGGCTCGTGCAGATAGAACCCGTGCCCCGTGGGGCTTGCCGGCGAACTCGGCGAGCTCCACGGGCTTGCCCATCGCCACCAGCCGCTCTCGAGGCCGCCGACCACCACGAGGACCGGCGGGAAGTCCACCGAGCCCAGGTCGGGGCTGTCCGGCCCGAACACGGGTTCGCCACTGGGTAGACCTGGTGGCGCCGGTCGGCAGCGACAGCCGCCAGAACCGGTCGACCAGGTCCAGGTTTGGGAACGCCTCCTCCGGGCACTCGGCCTCCGAGACCGTGCGCCGGACGCCGCCGAAGAACGGCATGAACAGAACGTAGCCGCGGACCGTCACAAGGCCTGGCTCTGGCTCCGCCGCGGCTGAGCCGCTGCCACTGCCAGCGCGCACGGCGAGGTGGTGCGCGATCGTGCCGCCCGCGGAGTACATCGTACTGGTAGATATCCTTGTCGGCTAGCTGGACTTGTGAATGGTTGGCGTGCACGCGGCACCTCCGCCCGACGGTTCCGTACCCCGCAGCTATCCGAGAATACTCTGGCCTCTGATCTTTCATTGGACGGACGAAGGATATTTGGATATGCCTCGACGACCATTATCCATGCGTTTTAGTCGTTTGTTCGTTTCTGTGCAGATAGATAGTAGATAGAAGATGGACGAATGCAAGCTGAATCACGTGTGCCACTTTATCTCTGGTGTGAAACATGTCGGCTGACTGATGACTGATGACTTATCTCCAGCAGTCCAGTGGGAAAAGGCCACCCCGGCCACCACTACCTTTCCACTGAAAACGACGGGTGCTCGCTCCCTCTCTCTGAATGAAAGGGAGAATAATGCACCTCATCTTATTAGGAAGGACGGTGAAAGCAAGCCAACAACCACTGGAAGATAACCTAGGCTTCCAGAGAATTCTTTTTTTTTAGAAAGGCGGTAAAAGTTTTGCCGAATTTTTACTAGACGAGGAAAAAGAAAAAACAAAACAGATTTACAGATAAGCTTCCAGAGAATTCAGATCTTCCAGAGATGAATACTGATGACGGATGTAACAGATTGAAAATTCATCCATCCATCGGCAAAAGCACCCAAACTGTTCAAAGCCTACGTATGTTGTTCTCAACGTGTTAACATTCTGTTCGTACAAAGGATGCCCCGTTCGCTTGTCTTAAAGTTTAGCTTGTTCGGCTTGTTTTTTCAGCCGGAACAGTGTTTTTCTCTCACAACAATTCAGCCAGAACAGTATTTTTCAGCCAGTTTCAGCCAAAGTTCAGACCAGCGAACGGGGCCTACGGAGTGCGTCATACTATCCCCCTTCCGTTTTGTAGAGTTAAACGATATTAAATTTGACCAAATCAAATATTTTTAAAATATACAAATATGATGTGTAATAAATATTATTATACTAAGCATCAAATATATTTTAAAGTATAAATATTAATACTTTTTTTATATAAATGTAGTTTTTTTGGGAATTTATATTAATGTAGTTAAAGTTGAGATTATTTGACTTGTCGGAAAACGAGAGTTATATGACCTGTTTGGTTCATAATTACAACTTACCACGCCATTGGTTAGTTATGCCATATTTTTTTCGACAATTGTTTAGTTTACTGTCGTGTCTATGGCACGCCATGGTTTCTTAGAATCCTATCCCACACGTTATAGACTTTTCTTACCAAGCTTTCACAAATCAAACAAACTCATATTCTTTTTGGAATGGAGAGAGTACTTTCATTATTATTATCCAGAAAAGAGCACCCAAGCTGTGTGTGTATTATTATAGAGGTGGGGATGATTTTATTCTTTTGTCTAGAAAAGAAGGCTCTGCCACCTGAATATGATATATAGTACGATGCTGAGCCGCACTCACAAATGTAGCCAATGGTGGCACACCAATTTGTGCCGTGGACCGACTCTCCCTCCCTCTCTCAAATTCCCTTATTCCTTCTTTGCGACTGAAGGTCGCTATCACACTAAAGCACGGTATGCTATTTGCTAAGCTGATGTGGCACACACATATAGCGCGTGATTCTCAGATGGACAGGATTTGGCCAATGCCTACTCAAAGGCCACCATGCACACAAGCTACTAGCATGTTGCACGCCCATTAACCTTTTGAACTCCCAAAATGGAAGTAAAAGAGGATGGATGCTTACCCATGCACTACTACAGAACTGACATCTAGTCCCGGTTGGGAACTGGTTTTAGTCCCGGTTTCCCAACCGAGACTAGCGTTCCGAGACTAAAGGTGGTGTTCTTTAGTCCCAGTTTGCCACAACCGGGACTAAAGATCCTCCCAGCTTAAAAAAAATAATGCCTCCCACCGCTGCGCCTTATGAGATTCGAACCCAAGACCTCATGCACTGCCTCGCGCGAGCTTACCACCCCACCTACACAACACATCTAACAATGGATGGGATGCTTTCCTTTTGAACTAACCCATCGAGGGACCTTTAGTCCTGGTTGGTGTTACTAACCGGGACTAAAGGGTGTACCTTTAGTCCCGGTTGGAATTACCAACCGGGACTAAAGGTTGGAGGACTTTTAGTCCCGGTTGGTGGTTCCAATCGGGAGTAAAGGAACCTTTAGTCCCGGGGGAAAAAAATGCCGAGACTAATGCAAAATTGGGATATCGTTCTAAAGTCTGTTCTCTAGTAGTGATGGTTGTGCTGATGAAAACACTGGTTACCACAAAAGACCAGCGGTTAACATCTCGTACTTCCCAAAATCTCCATTTTGGGGTTAGGGGTTTGGGTGGGGATGGTGCTGGAGTCATAGAAGGGTGGGCTTAGGGGATGGTCGTTGGTGACGGTTTGCCTGGCGATGGTGGAGAATTGAGGGCGGTGAGCGAGGATGCTGTTGGATGAATCGGTAAAGGAGTCAAGCATCCAAGTAGTCAGTGGAGGACATACAATGACAGTGAAGGCGGCGTTAGAGACGGCGAGATCACTATAGACCATGGACAATGAAAATGGCCAATAGTAGTCGGCAGGTGTCTATAATGCCAGTGAAGACACCATTAAGCCTGGAAGCAGGTGGACCGTGGAGTACACGACTAAAGCATGAGGTCGTTGGGGAAGAAGGAAGAAACGAAAATGGAAGGGAAAAAAGGAAAAATGAGGAGACGAGGTGCTAACCTAAATCGATGCGTATCCTTTTGTAGTGCCTGTCCAATTCCCCGTGTGATGCTTGATTGAGGTGCTGAATGCAACTTCCTATACCTTTGTTGAAATAGCATATGCCTGAGGGGGATTATTGATGTTCATTCTGCGGACAATCTCAGGCTTATTCGAGTGCCAATCATCCAATCAAACAAATTGAAAGATCAATCAACAGTCAGTATTACTTGCTCCCTAGTTTTTAGCACATGAGCTTTGGTTCATATCGTATCGGTCCCCAAATAAAACAACTTTGAGGTGTCTTAAGTAAAAAAAAGTTTGAGGCATTTCTAGAAAAGAGCACCAATATTTATGAAATAAGCACAATATGAAAATACATTTTATGGTGTATATGATTGATTAACACTAATTTGGTGTCATAAATCATGATGTTCTATATATATTTGGTCAAACTTTGGAAATTTTGACCAAAGATAATTTTAGAAATTGATTTATTTAGAAATTGGAGAATTATTTTTTCCCCGGAAGCCGCTAAGAAAGTGGCGTTTTACTGACATCATTGTCGATGCATATCAAATTGTAGAATTACTTTCCCTTGGATGATGGCTATATAAGACGACTTACGGTACACTAAACCTCATCATCAGCTTAGCTTCACTGTCTACCAGGGAGCAAGTCCTTATTAGTCTTTACACGCCCAAATTAAAGGACATGCCAACCATGCCCGCAGTTTCGGGCGCCACCGGCGTGTTACCTCCGGCGGCGGCCAACGTCGTCGTCGAGGACATCTATGGCTTCCTGCGCGTCCTCGGTGACGGCACCGTCCTCCGGTCACCGGAGCAACCCGTGTTCTGCCCGGACACCTTCCCCAGCAGCCACCCGTCGGTGCAATGGAGGGAGGCCGTCTACGACAAGGCCAACAACCTCCGCGTCCGCATGTACAAGCCGTCCTCCACGGCCGGCGGCGGCGAGGACGCCAGGAAGAAGCTGCCGGTGCTGGTCCACTTCCACGGCGGCGGCTTCTGCCTGGGGTCGTGCACGTGGGCGAACGTGCACGCGTTCTGCCTCCGCCTCGCCGCGGAGGCCGGCGCCGTCGTGCTCTCCGCGGGGTACCGCCTCGCCCCGGAGCACCGCCTCCCCACGGCGGTCGACGACGGCGTGGGTTTCCTGCGCTGGATGAGTCGCCTGAGTGCGCAGTCCACCATGGACGCCGCCGCCGACGGCTGGCTCACCAAGGCCGCCGACTTCGGCCGCGTGTTCGTCACCGGCGACTCAGCGGGCGGCACCATAGCGCACCACCTCGCCGTGCGCGCCGGCCTGGCCGCCACCAAGCGCGGCGAGGTCGATCTCGACCTCCGCCCGGTCACGGTGCGAGGCTACGTCCTCCTGATGCCATTCTTCGGCGGCGTCCGGCGGACGCGGTCGGAGGCCGAGTGCCCCGCGGAGGTTCTACTGAACCTGGACCTGTTTGACAGGTTCTGGCGGCTGTCGCTGCCGGCCGGCGCCACCAGGGACCACCAGGCGGCGAACCCGTTCGGGCCGGACAGCCCCGAGCTGGGCTCGGTGGACTTCCGGGCGCCGGTCCTGGTGGTGGTCGGTGGCCTCGACATGATGCGCGACCGCACCGTCGACTACGCCGAGCGGCTGGCGGCGATGGGCAAGCCCGTGGAGCTCGTCGAGTTCGCCGGCAAGCCCCACGGGTTCTACCTGCACGAGCCGGGGTCCGAGGCCACCGGCGTGCTGATCGGCCTCGTCAGCCGGTTCCTGCACAGTTGCGAAGCGCGGTTGCTTGATTAGCTAGCTCGGTGCATGCATGTGCCATGTAACTGTAAGATCGCATCAAGGTTCGTGCATGTGTATTGTTGTGTGCATGCAGCTTGCCCAGTGTGTTCCTCGCGTCAAATGTGTGCTCCAGTGCATGTACTGTGTACTTGTGTAGTTGGATTGATACCACGTGTCGGCAGCTTAGTCGAATTGTGTCCACGTGTCAGTCATGTTTTGATGTTTAGTGATTGTCTCGTACACTCGTGCATGCATGCATATATGGTCCTATATATATTTATGAGACTTTGTATGGATGTTGCAGGATTTTATATTACTGTATCGATCAAGACACTATTTTGCATGGAAGATTCGAATATTTTGATTTTATTCATCATCGAGTTTGTGTATACCATATTCGGATATTTTACCCTTCTTCTTCCAGACCTGAACTTTGAACTGACCATCGTCGACATTTCATCCATGGACCTCCTTCATTCATCTGTCTTAGACCTTGGTGCCTAATTATGCAGCTAGCACTGCAGAACCACGGGG